TAGAGATGAGCTTACCATTTCCCACCTTTAATTTGCCAGTGACACGGTAATAGCTTGTAAATCTTCTCTTGAAAATTTGTTGAATGGTAAAACAATTTTGATTTATTTTCAGGCTATTTCGAGTTTTAAAATTAACCTCAACAAAAGCTATCTCTACGATGTTGGATTGGATCAAAGGTTTATTGAAGAATGTGCAAGTAGAATCTCTTGTACAATTGACCGGTTACCTACTGCCTATTTGGGATTGCCATTAAAGGAAAGATTCAATTCACTGAAAATGCGACAGCCAGTTGAGGACAGATTTGAATCAAGACTTTCGACATGGAAGTCACGATATCTGTCTTTAGGTGGGTGTCTCACCCTCTTGAAGTTAGTTCTTTGTAGTCTTCTTATATTTTTCATGTCTCATTTCCTAATTCCCATTGACGTTAGAGAGAAATTAGAAAAATGCAGAGACATTTTCTTAGGGGAGGCACTCGTGGTAATAGGAAGATACACCTTGTTGACTACTAAACTCTGTACCTTCGAAAAGATCTTAGTGGCTGATATCAGTGTTCAAAACAGAGCGCTTATCAATAAATGGATATGAAGGTTTGGAATCGAGTTGGGCAGCTTATGGAGAAGAGTCATTGTTAACAAAACGAGATGTAGTAGGGATAGCCTACTACTTGCTGAAGGGTGTTCATGTATGACTTACAGCATTTGGCACAATTGTTAGGATGAGCCCTGCAGCCAATTAAGATTGATCAATGCTTGGTTTCAATCATGTAACGATATTATTCATATTAAATGATTAGAGGTTTTTTCATCGTCAATGAAACATTAGTTATAATGAGTTATAAGTCTAATTAGATGAAATCTATAAAATTAATATGTTTTTCAAGGGAATTGTAATGGGTTACAGTTATGAGATCCCTATGCATCAAAACATAATCTCAAAATATTTTTGGTCAATATATCATTGAGACTATACATCAATGATGCTTAGAGACTGGTACATTTTATGTTTCGTACTTTAGAAATAAGCAATTAATCTCATAGATTGAATATAGAGATACTTGGAACTAGAATGTAAGTGCTTGCTTGGGAGAGCAAGTTCACTCAACATGACTCGCCATGATAAGTGCATTTGGTAATACACTGCAGTGTCTATGCAACACTTCTCATGTGTCAGTCGTGTAAATACGTTCTAAACTTGAGACACCAGGTTGTTTTATATGTTAAGTGTTATAATTTAATTTCATTTATATGGGTACGTAACCAAGGATGCCTAAATAGGATTCTTCTTGATATAGTATGAAGCATGCGAAGACAAATGAGTGGTTAAAATAGGAATAATCACATCAAGTGTTTTAGAGGACATATCTTATCAATTCTTAACTAAGGCGACTTGGAGATTATGAAAATGTTTCATAAGTCTCTATAAAGCTAATGATATAACTGTAAGAACGAACATAGAGGTCAATAAGAATAGACACTGTACCAAGCTCTTATCATCTTTGAGATATATGATGAGAAAATGAATTACACTGATAGATTATACATTGAAATGTTGTCAAAGAACCCTTTCACTCTCCTAATAATTTGGTGGCTATGATGCATTACTAGATGCCAATCTTGATCTACAGAAGTAATTATAAATTAATTCATTGAAATTTATATTAATCAATTATGTCATTAATCAATTCTATTGTTAACATGTTAGGAACCTAATGGGTCACACATAATGATTGTATTTTAATTAAATTGAGAGAGTGATGATTTAAGTTAGGCTCAAATCACATGTTAGGTATTTAACTTCTATAAACTTAATTAAAAAGAGTTTAATTAAATTTTGACCACAATATATAAATAGTTATAATTATAATGTCGAAATTGTAATAATATAAAGAAAATTATTTCAATTTAACTTCCATTGGGTTTAGTTAAAATAGTGTAATTAAGGCATGGGCCTATATAGTAATGTATTATAATTTGGAGCGCCTTATTGCAAAATTAAAGTTAATTTTAACCTACTTATATAAATCACATTTAACTAGTTTTTCACATATGAAGAAAAAGAGTTGTCTAAAAAGAAAAAAAAAAAGCTTTTCTACTTGTATGCAGTCACCTACTTTACGAGGGAAAAATTATTTTTGAAGTAATTTTTCAAGTATGTGATTCGGCCATCCTTGTGAGAAATGGAAAAGGACAAACGGTGTCCCCTTTTGCTAGCACAAAAATATAATTAAAATCTTTCTCTTTTGTTGAAAAGTTCAAGTCAAATCGTGCGTACTTAATAACAAGAAATAAGAAATTCACTCTTGACAGTAATATATGTTGCATATGTAAATCCTAGATGTGAAAATATGTGGACTTCATTCATGAAATGAAAAAAAAAAGGAATATAGATGGAAAAAAAGGGCTAGGTTGGGCATAAAAAAAATTGATATGCTAAAACTAAATACGAAATGAAATAAGGGCTAATGAGATAGAAATAAGGAATCATAAATAGAGTTCAGGTTCGAATTCCATGGATAATATGGACGGTATTGCCTATAATGTTAAACAAATGAAAGATTCTCTCTAAATTTTTATTTATCCACTTGATATAGGTTAGTTGAACATAAAAATTCTTTCACTAAATAAGGAAACAATCCAATTGAATTGCATTCAATTGGATGGTACCAACGAAATCAAGCGCTAACTCCCACTTCTTATTGAAATAACCAATCAACCTGCTATTGAAGATTTATTTTTTGTATTAGACAGTTGGAGGCCAAAAGCTTGATTGGCTAGGGTTCTTGCTTCATGTGGTATTTGCAGGTTGCATTGAAAAGATTATTATTTCAATTAGAAAAAAGTTGACAAAGTTAGCTTATGATTTTATATGCAATTCTATGTATTAAAATATCACCATGGTGATCCGTGGGTGAAGGTATGTTTTTGTTAAAGTTTTAATTTTCTTTCTACTGCATAATTTCAAGCATATTGTCCATAGCCAAATCCAATAGTAGTATCATTAGTCTTCTTGTTCACTATAATAGAGATAGTCAGGTCACAAAAGATGGTTTCGGATTTTTAGTGGGGAATGGACAAAAAATAAATATTTGGCTTGATCAATGGATTGAAGGGATAATCTTTAAACTTAGCTTTCCAAGAATCTACACCCTTGCCACTAACAAAAGTGGTACTGTTGATAAGTATGCTGCATGAGAGGGAAATGCATGGCAATGGCGTCTTGAGTTATGGAGGAACTTGTTCGATTGGGAGCTTGACCAATGGGAGGCTATTCAAAATGTTTTGAAAGACCAAGCCTTAGATGCAAATCTTCATGATAAATTAATCTGGCGAGACACTCCTAGTGGCTGTTATTCTACCAGCTCCTTCTATCGTTCCTTCTAAGGATCCCCCATTTAAGTGGTAACCGCTGGATGTCACTTTGGAGTGGCCTTGCACCACTAACGGTTGAAGCTTTCTGTTGGCTCATTCTCAAAGGAAAAGTTTCTGTGGGTGATACTCTTTAAAAAGAGGCCTTAGTAGAATAGAAGCAGCTAGCTGCTCCTTATGTATGAAAGATATTGAAACTTTTGGTCATCTATTTTTCTACTATAGTGAATCGTGGGTCTTATGGTACCTTTGGGCAGGTGATCGGGGGCTGAATTGGGTTACTCATAAAGACCTTCTCGTAAATTTCCTATCTTAGAATGAAGTTGCCAAAACTGTTGGCAATCAAGATATTTGGAGGATGGCTTTCCCAGCGATTTTATGAACCATATGGTTGGGGAGAAATGATGCATGCTTCAATGGTAAGCTTTGGGATAGTCATCACTTTCTTGACATGGCGAAACTACATGTTGCTTGGTGGGCACATGCAATACAGCCGCCCTCTAATTTATCTATCCAAGACCTTGTTAGGTTTCCAAATGCAATAACTGTTCCTCCTAAACCTTTAAAATGAAAACCAGATTTCAAGTGGCAAATCTCGCCGAGTGAAGTCCTCAAATGTAATATTGATGGTGCTTCAAGTGGGAACCCCGGTGAGGCTGGAATTGTTGGACTTTTAAGGGATGAAAATGGTAATGTTCTCTTGCTTTTCTCTATCACAATAGGGATAATGGATGCCAATTCAGCTGAGTTTAAAGCTTTATGTAAAGCTCCCCAAATGTTTGCTGCTCCTCGATAGAGCTCACAAAAGGTTATCTTGGAAAGTGACTTTGAAAATGCAGTTAAATGGGGTTTAAACCCAACCACAACCCTTGGGAAATTAAGGCCTACCGTTATTCAATTTAAGTGCTTTAAATCTATGATTGACTGCTGCGAAATTGTAAAAATTCCTAGGTTCGCTAATGAGGTTGCTTTTCTTTGTTGATTGTGAGTATGAATTTGGTTGTATAAGTGTTTTTGTTTTGTGCTTGACAAGATCACCTGTCTGTTTGGTTGAGGTTTGCTAACCTCTTTCTACTTGATGGGGGATGTATATGCCATTTTTTTGGGAAGGCAGGGGTTGGTTTTGCTGCTCCTGATCTGGTTTTGTGTTTGTGCAGCTTTTCTTGGTGGTTTGGAGGTTATTCTCCTTCTTCTGGCTGTAGCTTTATTTCTATATGAATGAATTCAGCTTTTCAAAAACTATATATATAATATTTACTCAAATTCATTAATTGTTCTAAATATAATTACTGAAACTCAACTGTAATTATCTTAATTTTTAAAATTCAACCGTTCGATGATATATAAAAGTATTCACATCTTGACATTTAAATTGGTACTTTATTAATTACACTTCTTAAATAATATTTTTTTAAAATATAAAACAAAATATATTTCAAATTAACGAAACATATTTCAAACTCTCCACCTATATGTAATTTTACATCATGTTAGAAGCTTTCCAACTAAAGAAGCTTGTGAAATTGCCTCTTTTCCTCCTAAAAGAGTTGGAATTTGAGAAAGGCTGAGGAGGGGTCTACGATACATAATTGCATATAAGACTGCTCCTAGCTTCACTTGGTACCAATTAGTTAACTTTCAACCTTTGCAACCTTCCTTTGCTCAAGTTGGCCTGTCAATGGACACTGCATTTCCGCCCAACTTATTGGAACCATTGTTGCTGCACCTGCTGAGCTCTTATCAGAGATGACACTCAGTTCATTCTTAGCAGTTGATAGATGATAAGCCCGTGCATCTCCAAGGGACAGCACTACAACTCTGACAATGTCACTAGGACGAAATGACAAGTGCATATCCACTTTGTCAATTTCAGTTGCTCTAACATCTTGTTGCCCAATTATACCACTAAATTTTTCTCTCACAGACTCTGTACCAACACACATACTATCTATTGATGTTATCCTAGCTGTCACCTTTGTAACTCGGGCAATGACAACAGAACCGGACTCCGAAACAGGACCATGGGCTTTGTTACCAGTTACCTTCGCAATCAATCTCCGGTGATCAGGAGGAAGGGATTTGATGCAGCGGAAACTAGTGAGGAAAGCATAGATGGTCTTGTTACGATATGTTACATAAGCTCTTTTTCCTGCTTTGAGATTTGTGGCCCTTCCCAACACCTCACCTGGTGTTACTATCTCTACTTCTTCTGTTTTTAAATAAATTTTCGTTTAATATTCAATTTTATTTTTTTATTTATTTTTTATTTTATGATTTTATTTTATTAAAATATTAGATAATTAAAATGTTTATGTGTGTCACAATTCTTATATCAATAAGAGATGGGATCAATCTTAAATATAGAAATATAGGTCTTCTATTACTTATCAAATATGTATTTTGGTTTGAGAAAGTAGGTTTGTGATTTATAAACTTATTCAAATTTTATTTTCAGAGTTTAAAGTAATACGAAGTTGGGCTTAATTTTCATCTCGTGACATTTGGTATCACTGGAATCTTCTTTGATGTGGGGCTCACAAGAGATACAAAGGTCGAAGTTGACTCGAACTAGCCTAAAAGTCTCTCTCTTCTATGGGTAAAGAGCTAGTGCAACAAGAATATTGCGCAATTGAGTGGAGTAGAAAGTCATGCATCTCACATTAGTAAGAAATGGAGTGATCTTGGTATATAAACATGGGTCTTCTACTACTTATCAAATATGTCTTTTGAGTTGGGAACTTGAGTCTATAATTTATATACTTATTTAGATTCTAGTTTTAGAGTTTAAAGTTGTACGAGGTTAAGTTTAAATTTTGACTAGTTACATATGAACAAACCTTCTAGGTTTAGAAAAGAAAAAAACTTCTTATTGGAGGACAATTAGATTAGCCCAGAAAACCTTTTCTTTTTCCAGACTTCATTTTGAGTCAAGTATATAAGCTCCTAACTCTTTTCTCCTTTTGATTTTTTGTCTTCCCATCTAAGTGAATTCACCTTTGTCTGAATCCTAATTTTCCCAAATCTAAACTTGAAAACTCAAAAACACTAAAATCCTGACCTTTAGCGCGATTTCTCTAGGTTTTTTCTTGTGAGCGTGTGTTTTCTGCTTTTCAATCTCTTGTAATTTCTTATGTGTGTGCATTTTATACCCTCTGTGATTTAATCCTTTTCAAATTTAATTTCATGAGTTTTGATTTATTTAAGCTTGCCTTTTAGAGTTTGATTTAAACTGGGATTTTGAATTAGATTCAAATTGAGATTAAGATCCTTATTTCACATGTTTTTTCTTTTTCCAAATTTTTCTTTTTTTGTTTTTTTTATTTATATATTTTAATTTTTTTTTAATTTTCTCTATAGTTGAATAAAAAGTCGTGAGTAGGCAACCTGCAGAGATTAAGAAAGCCCCACACTTGGGTGCCTTACCAAAACTTTAAGACCCGAATGGCCATCCAACATGTTTCGATATTCAGCTGAAAATCTGAAAATTTTTCTTGACTTTACACTTTTATTTTTGGCTATTTACCTGTTTTAGATGTGACAAAAATCTAATTTATTTACTTGTTTTACTGCATCTTGAAAAACAGAGGATTTTTGGACCCAAAATTGAAGTTGTCATGATCTCTCTTGCCATTTCAAGAAATCCTAACTTTGACTTTTACAGACCACTTTTTCAATATTAAAGTCAAAGTTTATATTGTTAATCAAGTTTTAATTTAAAAAAATAATTTACCGATAAAATTACCAACAGAAATTTGCCTTAGTAATATCAACAAAAAATATTGACAAATTTTTTTCATTACCGATTAAAAATCGATCGACAGATCGAAGTCATTACCAATCAAATTGTCAATAGAATGCTTCATGATTAAGTTACTCATGAAATATGCCATCATCGAGGAAATTTTCATTACCGACAATGTTATTATCCTTAGAATTCTGATGAGATCTTTTTTATTATCAATGGAAATTTTCATCAGTAATTGACTTTTTTTTGTAGTGAAAGAAAGATATAGATACTTGCTTTTAACTTGGTTTTTCTTTGTTTTCCTCTTCTCCTTTATAAATCGACAATGATCATTTTATGAACTAAAAGACTAATGGCTATTTCATTCTCTCAATCAAATATCTAGTGATGAGTAGGCAACCTGGAGGGATTAAGAAATGCCTTACAAGAACTTTAAGACACGAATAGCCATACAATATGTTTTGATATAAATTAGCTGAAAATCTGAAAATTTTTTTTGGCTATTTGCCTGTTTTTGATGTGACAAAAATCTAATTAAATATTATATTACGAATAAATTTACCTTACTAAATGATGAAATTATTACAAGTTGTTTTTATTTATTTATTTATTTATATATTAACAAGCCTTTATATTCTTGGACGAATTTTGGAGCTTTGGTAGCGGTAGTTGTACATCAAAGGGAGCTCTGAAGTGCCGAAAGAAAAAGTGTACATTTCTATCAAATTTGCATTTGTAATTAACTGATGTTTGGCCACTGAGAACGTACAGGAAAAGGAGGAAAGAAAGTTTGCTGTATTCTTCTCTCTCAGTGTGATGTTGGGAGAAAAAAGATAACAAAAGTAAACGCCTCCTTACCCCAACTGAGCAGAGACATCAAAATAGCACGTGTTAGCTCTCGACTGGTTAAATATTTTCCACTTCAAACATAATATTTTAACATTGTAAATGATTGAATTTGACTCCCAGTTAACAAAAAGTTGAGTGAGCCTGAATGTTAAAAGAATGGCGGAACAAAATAACAATAAAAATGAAAGGTAAATCATCCTTGCTAAGAACAGTAAGTCCTCCCACAACTTCAGATGACATAGCAAAATAAAGGGGTAAAACTGTTGCCTTGAAACCAACACCCATGCCCCAATGCAGCTGGGCTGAGATATGAACAGCCTTTCTTTAACAAAATGAAACAGATTACAAACAACAATTTCAGGACCATGAGAACGTTCAAATGGAGTGACTACTCCAACTGAGACTATCACATGATCCATCCCACCTCCTTGGAAAATAATAGTAGGAACGCGGGAAATCTTCTGTACTGAACCCTGTACATACTAAACTACATCTCCATACCAGAAATTTCACAACAGAGCATCAGAATAAGCTCCAATGTATGGAAAGGAACCAAGGAAAGGAAAATATATCCCAGCAAGGTTCTGTCGTAATACCCCACTTAAATGTTTTGCTAAAAAAGCAGCAAGTTATTAAATGTTTTGCTAAAAAAGCTCCATTGGCTCTCTTGCTCCATACTTCAACATGGCTGTCTGAAACATGTACGAATTTAAACTCTTCCTAAGTACCACTTCTTCATGACTATTCTACAAGCATAGACCGCTGAGAGAGATCCCATATCAGCTTTCTCTGCTGACCATTAATGTGGGGTAAACATGCATGTAAAAGATCAACCGGCATTTCCCTTTTAAAAGCCCTGGTAGCATCTGACTCACCAATTGCCATATTTGGTTTGAACTGCATACGCAAGGACTGCATCACAGTATCATATTTGTTTACACAATACTTGGTAAGAAGGTTAAAGAATTCATCAAATGAGGCATCCCAAAGGGACTGATTGGTCATATTATAATTGCCAGCAGCTCTAAAATCAATCATGAGTTTTGTTGCCCTATCAAGGACAGACTTCAGAATAAGAGATACCCCATCTCCAGCAGGACTTCCAACCTGACGAAGAGGGGGCTGCTCTGAGGAACAAACCACAGCTGCAAGACAGACACTAAGTACGCGAAGATCCATGCCATGAACACATGAGGAAACAACCCTTGCAAGGTTATTTGTACTTTCTGCTGCTCCTGGATCAGAGTGAAGGCCTCCAAACAAGAACCTTAAATGACTGAAAATGGCCATGCAGACAACTCGCATAAGCTCACCACCGAGTAAAAGAAGCTGAAGGTACCTTGCAAGCAGCTTCCGGCCTTTGGGAAGGGAAACTATCCGTAAAAATACAAAATCGTCCTGTGTGCTAAGCTCAGGTGTGAAGCAAGCTCATCTGTGTGACCATTCTTGCCAAGTGGATCAACCAATTGAAGTGCTACAGCCAGGCCATCCAACAAAACTCGTCGTCTTTGTCTCAACTGTGCTCCACCATCCTGCAACTGATTAAACTGTAAAAACCGGTCAATATCATCTACATCAAGATGAAGGCATAGACCATCCTCGATTGTAACTCTAGCAGCGAGCATTGGTTCCTGTTCCTGGGGCATGTCAGAAGCTTTCTGTTCATTGTTGCTGACAGCAGATGAATTTGGAGAGTCAACTTCAAGAAGAGGGCCAGGCCTGCGAATCGAAGAGAAAGGAACCCTTCCAAGAGCATCAACCTGGAGAAACGCATGTGGCTCGGTATTAGCACGTCCTCTCCCTCAAATCTATGTCTCCTGGCCTCCCTTACCTCTCACCGACGATGGTTGATTCCTTCTTCTCCCTTCGTTTGGGGGCTGCCCGGTACCTTCTCTCCTTTCCCTCAATTTCAATTTGTTTAAAATTAGGGTTTTTAAACTCCCTTTTAAAAATCTTCCAATATCACGTAAAATGCCATTACAATAATTCTTTAATTGATTGCACAAATTTTCCATTACAAATTATTATTATTATTTGTAGGTCAGACTTTTGTCATTTGTCTTTATTGGTGTTGCGAAAATGCAGCGTCGAGGAATGTGTTGTGGGACGAAGGGAGTGTTGCTTTGGGGTTTTCTTGATCTTTTTTACCGGTTTGTTCTGCATCTACCGGTTTCTTTTTGTTTATTTTTTTTCTTCTTTCTTCTACTTTGGGGTTATGCTTGATGCTTGGAGTTTTGAGATAAGCAAAAGCATGCGTACAAATAGTTTGATGCTTGGATATTGTGCTGGTTGATTGGTTTTGACTGCAGCTTTGATTGTCCTGCCTGGTTGTTCTCAGCTTTGATAAGCAAATGCATGTGTTTCTGCTTCAGTTTTCTACACTGGCATGCTTTCTGGTTGCTCTTGTTTATATAATTGTTTGTTCAGTTTGAATTTTGTTTGATTTTTGTATTGTTGATGTACATGTTTTTGTTCTTGCGTCTGGTTTTGTGAGTTGTGGCCTATTGGGGGTGGTTTTTTTTTCTTATTTTGGTTTTCTGAGTTTGGGGCTGTGAATATTTATTTTTATTCTCCCAGGGAAGTCTTTTCTTTGAGATATACAATGAAATCTCTTTCTTTCAAAAAAAATATTGAAAAAATTGTGTTCTGTTAATTGTTAGGTCGTTTATGTTGATAATTATGTGCTGTTAATTGAGTGCAAACAATTGGGATATTGTGCAATTAATTGAGATTTGCTTTGCAAACAATTGCTATCACATTTAATATTAGCAATGTGGAAAACGGAAAAGGGAAACTTTACCAAACTTTATGAAAATAGGCTGTTTGAAGGAAGATCGATGAAATAGATCATCTAGATTGAATAAGTAAAATTATTTAACTTAATTAAGGTTTAGGGTAATTAAGCAATTAATTCAATGAGTAAATTTAGATTAATTTAAAATTAGTTAAATTAATTAAGGTTGCATTATAGGGTAATTAAAGAATTTAACTAATCAAATTAATGAAAAAAATTGTTTAATTAGTTGTTTAGCAATGAATTAAATATTTAAAAAAAATTTCTCAGTATTAAATATTTAAATTAATTAAGGGTTGAATGAGCGAATTAAAATATTTAGTTAATTATAAGTAATGGTTTAGGGTTATTACATAAGTGAATAAGAAATTAATTAAATGAGTACTATGATTCATAATGTTATATTTCATTTAAATTAGGGTTTACGAAATTAATTAAATAAGTTAGGTAAATAAAAACAATCATGTATTAGTAATTAATCAATAAATTAAATTAGTAAATTTAGGAAAATTAAAATTATTTAACATACTTAATGTTTAGGGTAAGCAATTAATTAAATGAGTAAATTTAATAAAAGTTAAAATTAGTTAAATTAATTAAGGTTGTAATTTAAGGTAATTAAAGAATTTAACTAATCAAATCAATGAAAAAAAAATTAATTTGTTATTTAGAAATGAATTAAATTAGTAATATTAGTTAATTAAACAATATTTAAGTCAATTAAGGTTTAGGTTAAATTAATTAAATATTGCTAAATATTTTTAAAATTATTTACATTAAGTAAGATTTTAATAAATTAATATGCTTGGAACAAATAAAATTTTAATAATTCTAGTATTTAAATTGGATTTTGTTTTCAATTTATGTTTGTGTTAACATTTGCTAATGTATAATTTAATTATATAATTAAACTTAGGGTTTAGTTATATAAATTAGTTAACTAAATTAGTAATAGTATTTAATTTTACAAATATTTAGAGTTTAGGGTTATAAGTAATTAAGTAATTAATTAAATAAGTAATATTATATAATATTTATATCATGTATTCTTTCGACTTTTGGTAGATTACAATTTTGTAGGACGAAGAGAAGGTTACATAACCTAGTTTAGAACTAAAAGTTATGTGCTACGTATGAGTTAAATTTTATTTTCTCAAATCAAAGCTTAGATTTACAATCTAAGTTTTAATTTAAATATTAAAGAAGTAACTCCAAAAGTTAAAGGTATTTGGCTTCCTACAATGACCAGAAAGATGAGCATCATAGCAGCCTCGTCAACTTTAGGTTCCAAAAATCTCTTTTATTTTGAGGAAAGATGACTCACTAGTTTTACATAATTAATATTATTCATTCAAATTACAGTAAAATCTCTCTAAATTAATACTTGACAAATTAATAATCTCAATTAAATAATATTTTTAATCAATCTCAACTTGGGACTAATATAGTAAATTAATAATTCGCTAAATTTATAAAATAATACATTAAAAAAACACCTGGTTTTATTTGGTATATAAATTAATAATCTTTTTATATATCAAAATTATATATATATATATACAGAACTCAATTATGAAGTCTTTGTAAATTATGACTCAAATGTTATTTGTTTTTTCTTGAAATTAATACCTCTTTAGACCTCATCTCTAACTTTTCTTAGTGTATTAACTTTTCATTTATCATTGTTAACTTCTTTACACCTTTAAGATGAGAAACCATTGTATTTAGTTTTATGATACTGTATGTTATTTTTATAAATGTTTTTATTTGATTTAATGTTCAAGAAGTATATTAATTAAGTATACATCAAATGTAATTTTAGTTTGTTGTAAAAATCAATATTTTTATGACTTCTATTTAATAAGACTAATTACATTTATGAATTTGTTTTAGTTACACAAATACATAGAATAATGAGTTATTCGGTAATTAGGCAATATTTGTATAATTACAATATAAAATACAAGTATTAAGTTCAATATTTAAAAAAAATAAAAGATACCTTGATAAATTAATATTTATTGATTAATGTATAAATTAATAAATTATTAATTTATCGATTAATTAATGTGTCAATTAATTAATAAATTTTTATGTTTTTAAAAGTATTAATTTATAGAGGTTTTACTATATCTTGAAAAAAAGTAGTTTTCTGGATCTAAAATTGAGGTTGCCATGATCTCTCTTGCCATTGCAAGAAGCCATAACTTTGGTTTTGGCAGATCAATTTTTCAATATTCATGTCAAAGTTTATATTGTTAAACTAAGCTTTAATTTGAGAAGGAAAAATAATTTACTGATAAAATTACCAATGGAAATTTCCGTCAATAATACCAACGAATTTCTTTTATCACCGACTAAAAACCAATCGATGGATCAAAGCGATTACCGATCAAATTGTCTATAGAATATTCCATGGGTAAGTTAGTCATAGAATATGTCATCACCGAGGAAATTTTCATTACGGACAACGCTATTGCCCATAGAATTCCAACAAAATCTCTTTTATTATCAATGAAAATTTTCATCGATAATGAATTTTTTTTTTTGTAGTAGAAGAAAGATATAGATACTTGCTTTTAACGTGATTTTTCTTTCTTTTTCTTCTTCTTCTTTATAAATCGACAATGATTATTCTATTTTAAAAAATAATCATTTTATATACTAAAAGGCTAATGCTTATTTCATTCTCCTAGGAAAATATATAATACTGCATAAGCAACCTAGAGAGATTAAGAAATGCCTTATCAAAACTTTAAGACACGAATAGCCGTACAACATGCTGCGATATTAATTAGCTAAAACTCTGAAAATTTTTTTTGGCTATTTACTTGTTTTTGATGTGATAAAAATCTAATTAAATATTATATTTATTAATAAATTTACTTTACTAAATGATGAAATTATTACAGCTAGTCTTTATTTATTTATGTATTTATTTAGAGAAAATTGTGAGAGAAAACCTTCCTCGCAAGCTCAATTCAAAAATATCATTTTTTATGATTTTAATTATTTTTAATCAATTTTTGACATGACTTACAACAATACCCTTTAAACAATTTCTGACAAACTAAAATGATTTCAATTTTCTTTATCAGACAAAAATTTTAAAATTAAATCTTGATTTTTTTCTCTGGTCAAATAATATCTATCTCGTCATCCAAAAAGCAAAGATGACATCAAGCTCTTTCTTTTTTTTTTTTTGGATGGTGAACTTGAGGTTCTCAAAGGTGACGAACAGCGATTTTGCTCTTTTATGGTGATTGTAACCAGCATGATGAATGTGGTAACTAGATGCTTTGTGGTGATGATTTACTTTGAAATGTGTGCTATGATGAAGATGCCTATGTTGATGTGTTGGATCAAATTGTTTAAGATGATGGGCTTAGGGAGAAAGAACAGTTAAAGCATGTTTAATGGGTTTTATGATGGTTCACAGTTTTGTTGTGTTTGGGATTGGGATGATTATTAAATATGTTTGTTGAGGATTTTGATTTTTTTATGAGATTTTGAGTTAAAATTGTTCAAAAAATATTTTGTAAAAAGAGTATATTTTGTTTTTGCATAAGGGAAATGAGCAAGGGCCTCTTGATAGGGATATATTTTATCTTACTTTGAAAAATTATGAAATTTTGTAATCTATCTTTTCTGAATGCATAATTTCATGGTTTAACAAAAAAATATATATGTATTTTAAGTTCTTAAGTTTATTGGTTTATTCATAAAACTCCAAAGTTAAGGAGCTAAAATTGATTAAATTAGTTTTTAAGTATTACGAGACTGATTTTTAGGTATTATGTGACTTAATCACTGCATGACAGGCTTTTAAGTATTACGTGATTAATGTAGGCATTGCATTACTAGTTCTTAGGTATTACGTGATTGATTTTTAAGCAATGCCTAAGTCACACAATACTTTACTAACTAATCACGCAATGCCTTACTAACTAGTAACGCAATACCTTACTAACAAGTAATGCAATGCCTATCAACTAGTCAGATAATGTCCAAAATCAGTCACCAATACCTAAAAATTAATCACACAGAACTTAAAAATTAGTAATGCAATGCCCAAAGTTAGTCACATAATACTTAAAAATGAGTCACGCAATACCTAAAAACTACTAAAACTACTAAATTTTATTTAATAAAATCAACCACTTCAAACGATACTCTATATTCTATTTAACAACATAATTAATGAATACGCCTACTTGACAAAGGATGATCAAAATATTCAAAGATTTTTTTATGTATATCAAAAATCACTCCAAAATACTTTTAAATGCTCAAAACGTTCAAAAATTTTCTTCATGCATCAAAACCTATTCTAAAATGCTCAAAATGCTGAAACGTTTTAAAATTATAAAAACATCTATTGTAAAAAACGCTTTATACATTAAACCTATTTATAAAAAAAAACTCCATTTATTTATATATTAACAAGCCTTTATATTCTTGGACCATTTTTTGAAGCTTTGGTAGCTGTATTTGTACATCAAAAAGAGCTCCGAAGTGCGTAAGAAAAAGTGTAGATTTCTATCAAATTCGCGTTTGTAATACCTGATGTTTGGCTACTGAGAACGTACGGGAAAAGGAGAGAAAGTTTGCTGTATTCTTCTTTTTCTGGATGCGATGTTGAGAGAAAATGGATAATAAAAGTAAATGCCCCCTTGCCCGAACGGAGCAAACACAGCAACATGCCACATGTTAGCTCTTGACTGCTTAAATACTTTGCAGTTCAAACACAATATTTTAACATCGTAAAGGATTAAATTTGACTCCTAGTTAACATGAAGTTGTGTGAGCATGAGTGTTAAACGAATGGCCAAACAAAACAAAAAGTAAATCATCCCACAACTTCAAATGACATAGCAAAATAAAGGGGTAAAGCAGTTTAGTAAGGCTCCAAAGAATTATTGCCTTGAAACCAACACCCATGTCCAAATGCAGCTGCACTAAGATATGAACAGTCTTTCTTTAATAAAATGAAAAAGATTACAAACAATAATTTCAGGACCACGGGAACGTTCAAATCAAAAAGCAACACCGTTACCAATATTAAAGGCTAGATTCACCATTTCATCTCAGAAGGCAACACTATCACACCTCCCAGCAAGCTACAATCAACATCTGCATGCCTTGAATCAGTGACTGAGACACTACTCCAACAGAGACAAAGACATGATCTATCCCACCTCCTTGGAAAATAATAGTAGGAACGCGGGAAACCTTCTGTACTGAACCCTGTACACACTAACCCACTACATCTCCATACCAGAAATTTCACAACAGAGCATCAAAATAAGCTCCAATGTATGGAAAAGAAAGAACCCAAGGAAAGGAAAACATATCCCAGCAAGGTTCTATCGTAATACACATAGGCCCACTTAAATGTTTTGCAAAAAAAGCAGCATGTTATTAAAGGTAAAAACACATCAACTAGAAAGACTAAAATCTGAAAGGGGCTAAATTGACCTTTAGTTTAAATGTCCTCGAAGCTTCACCTGAACCATTGTGGATGCTCCATCATAGCCATCCGTTTGAAATGCTATAGCTAATTGCATTCCTTTCAGCACATGGCATCACTTGCTCCATACTTTACTTCAACATGGCTGTCCGAAACATGTGCGAATTTAAACTCTTCCTAAGTACCACTTCTTCATCACTATTCTACAAGCATAGACCGCTGAGAGAGATCCCATATCAGCTTTTTCTGCTGATCATTAATGTGGGGCAAACATGCATGTAAAAGATCAACCGGCATTTCTCTTTTAATAGCTCTGGTAGCATCTGACTCATCAATTGCCATATTTGGTTTGACCTGCATACGCAAGGACTGCATCACAGTATCATATTTGTTTACACAATACTTGGTAAGAAGGTTAAAAAATTCATCGAATGAGGCCTTCCAAAGGGACTGATTGGTCATATTATAATTGCCAGCAGCTCCAAAATCAATCATGAGTTTTGTTGCCCTATCAAGGACAGACTTCAGAATAAGAGATGCCCCATCTCCAGCAGGACTTCCAACCGGACGAAGAGGGGGCTGCTCTGAGGAACAAACAACAGCTGCAAGACAGACACTAAGTGCACGAAGATCCATGCCATGAACACATGAGGAAACAACCCTTGCAAGGTTATTTGTACTTTCTGCTGCTCCTGAATCAGAGGGAAGGCCTCCAAACAAGAACCTTAAATGACGGAAAATGGCCATGCAGACAACTCGCATAAGCTCACCACCGGGAAAAAGAAGCTGAAGGTACCTTGCAAGCAGCTTCCGGCCTTTGGGAAGGGAAACTATCCGTAAAAATACAAAATCGTCCTTATGAGCAAGCTCATCCGTGTGACCATTCTTGCCAAGTGGGTCAACCAATTGAAGTGATGCAGCCAGGCCTTCCAACAAAACCTGTCGTCTTTGTCTCAGCTGTGCTCCACCATCCTGCAACTGATTAAACTGCAAAAACCGGTCAATATCATTTACATCAAGAAGAAGGCATAGACCATCCTCGATTGTAACTCTAGCAGCAAGCATTGGTTCCTGTTCCAGGGGCATATCAGAAGCTTTCTGTTCATTGTTGCTGACAGCAGATGAATTTGGAGGGTCAACTTCAAGAAGAGGGCGAGGCCTGCGAATCGAAGAGAAAGGAACCCTTCCAAGAGCATCAACCTGGAGAAACGCATGTGGCTCGGAATTAGCACGTGCTCGGGGAGGAAGATCCCTAAGATGATTTGGGCAAAAATGGTGTCTCAACTTTGCCCCAGAATATTTTCTTGCAAGACAAGCCTGGTGGTAATAATCATCCACGTAAGGGTCGTTACTGTGAGTCGCAGCGAGCTGCATTCTAAGAATGCCCTCAATCTCATCAGTAGACATGTATTTGGATCTAAACTGAGGCCATCCAATATCACTCTTCAGTCCACTGCTATCAAAGCCCTGCTGAGAAAATCGTGGATTCTGCCTACTTCTTTGAGCTGATTTCGGTCTTTGATCTCTCAGATCACCAAGACCAAGTATAGCTTCAAACTTGTTCATTAGAGGTGGGGATGGGGAAAGATGAGGATTAAATAGTTGAGACTGTATCCCTGACAAATGGCCAAATGATGGCTGAACAGGATGTTGGAGTCTCTGCTGGTGCGTCTGCAGCTGTGGCATTAATTGCGGCGGAATCAAACCATTTTGATGAGATAACTGTTGTTGCAACATATTGTTTAAAACACTGGTATTATCTCCACCGTATAAGTTCGGTTGGCTCCCCCATTGATTTGACGGCCGATTATTGACAGACAAACCAGGAGGGAATTGAGGCATATTCCCAGCATAATGTGACCCATGATGTAAACCTGGCAATTGAAGCTGAGAAGTAGAGAAGGCAGAGAGGTTTGGTGAAGAAGCCATCTGTGATCCACCAGCCATATGTGGAATATTCAGGTGACCAGAATGGTGGTTTGGTGAAGCTTGTGGAGATCTGCCACCAGGGGGAGGGTAAGAAGTGTAAGAAGATTTTGGAACTAGAATTGGTTCACTAGTGAACTGTTGATTGTGATGGAGTTGCAGCTGCTGCTGCTGCTGCTCAGGGTATGAGGAAGTCCTATACAGATGCTTTGAGTCCAAATTGGGCACAGAAGAATATGGTTGTGATGACCAGCGTTTGCCTTCGGGAATACTTTCAGTCTCAAGAGCCTGCTGATCAAACCAGGTACGAAATTCCTCCCCATGTGCCCATTCAGCAACAGATGAACCTTGAAGGAGAACACCATGGTCAGAATAATGAGAAATATGTCAACATAAATATGGCATCATATGCATGTATGTTTGTTACGCCTTCACTCTGATGATGTAGGGTTCTAGAATGGATAATACAGTTGATGCACAACGTTTTGTTATAAATGGAAGTGAAGGAAACCTTGCGCTAGTGTCTGATGATGACTATTAGTTAATTATGATAATGCATCATCATGGAGCACATTAGGCAACAGAATGGACCAAACTAACTCTTTAACATTTAGTGACAAAATTATATATTTTAAGCTTATTCAATAAGATTCATAAAAATCATCTTCATCATATACATGTGTCTGTGTGAGTATGTAGAAATTGCTGCTTTACTTCACTGTGATGATGTAAGGGGTGCCAAGGGTGCACCCTGCACATTTGACATCTCACAGCCTCAATCCAATCACACTAATTAAGAGAAAACTAAACTAGTGATATAGAAATGTTAGAAACAGGGCAGACGGAAGTATAGAAGATTTTGAGAGTGCCAATGCTGCGTAGACAATTATAGTACATTATCCAGAGGCTTGATAAACACTGCTAGAAACAACAACTGATTTCAATAACAACATTTTGACTAATTAGTATCATGAATATCATGACCTAAGAATGTCACCAATGCTATATTTACAGCTAATTATTTTGCCTACTAGGGGATCCAATTGCTACAATTGTCTTGCTTAGAGCAGCATATAAGAAAGTTCAAAACAATGGAGAAAGGAATTTCAACAGCTTGACTGAGGTGAGCATCATCAAATGGATTTCACTCAACTCATGTGACAAATATTGCCATTAAAGGAACACAATGTTTCACTCCGATCTGCAAACATTTATTCTGTCCCATATATATGAATAACAAGAACAGCTTCATCTCATGCATGAAGGTTGTTGAGTTCGAGAATGAGATATTCAACAAAGTTCACACCTGAGATGCTTAAGGCACTTGAATGTATGCAAATTTTCCAATTTAATTAACATTAGAGAAGGCCAAAAAAGAAAAAAGATGGCGGGGGTAAAAACAAAACAAGTTTAATAATAAATTTGGAGTTGGCAAGAACTCTCTAAATTTATCAAAAACTCTTCCACACAGACATATCAAAATTAAGTTAGAACCCTAAAATACATACATATGTATATACACACACACAGTTCATAATCAAAGACAAGTCTTGTAAAGGTTAGATTTACATTCTATTTTAATGCATTTCTTGTATGTTTTTGCTTGACTACTTTACAGACAACCGTCTACATTGTGACAACCCCTGCCCCTTCCCAAGGCAACCCATTAACCACCAACTCCCAATTGCAAAGGGATCTCCATCCCAGCATTTTAGTACAACTATCCAATGCCTTTTTACAGAAGGCGAGCATGTCCACCACACCTAAGCATTTATGTGGTAAAAACTGTATAAAACTCTTATCAGATGCTACTAGCAACGACCTTTCACCCAATAACTCAGTCCTGATGCAAGTAACTCTAATTTTATCATTTCTTTTTTCTAGCTATGAAATCATTAAAAACTAAAAAGTATGAAAATAGTTAACCCGATTCTAAATTTTTTATATATCTTCCGCTTGATCCCAGGATATCTTATTTTTATTCACATCACTTGATAGTTTTCCAGAACTTGTACATAATTTCCATTAAATGAACTGGAATCATACAGCTACAGTCCACACTTCACTGAAGTCAAAAGGATGCATACATCAAGGTTCACCAATCAGCATTGATGATAAATAGATCACATCAAAAGCTCTACATGAAACCAACCTAAAAGTGATTGGACCTCAACTACATCAATCATCACCAATTTACGTATAGAAGAAAGTTTTTTCTTTGGCCATTGCTGATAAAAGAAATTTATGATATTGATAGACTCACTTTCTCTAGATCCCCTATCACCAATTATCCCTGAGCCTCTTGGTCCGCTAACAGCTGTGTTTAACTGCAAGAAAATCACAAACAAGCATCAGCAAACACTCAACCACCAACGCTAAGCTAGAAAAAACCACCAACAAACATATATCTCAGCACATGCCACTGGTGAATTGTGATTTTAAAATATAAAGGAAAAAGATAGGAACTTTATCCTTTGTGGACTTTTAATAGCTCAAAAAGTTGATCTAGTCGATAGCAAACAAGGAGATTTAATCCAAAAGGAAAGAATCCTTTCCAATGAATTACATGAATTAAGCCAAATATCAGCTAAGTTAAGGTTCATTCCAAAAGTAGCTTAATGCTAGTGTCATTGCTGGACAGATGTACAATAACAATTAGGAGGATCAATTCTTAGAAAACTGAGAGTAGTTCAAAGAGTTTGGAAAGTAGCTTGGTAAAACATTTATTGTATATCTTAAGACACCAGACAAACAGGTGCTCAAAAAGAAAAGAGTAATTTGGTGAGTTTTCATCCATTAATTCACTCTGCATGGGAACAAGGTAAATGTAATTCCAGGGGCATTTGCACCAAGTTGTGCACGATTGAACTCCCAACAATCTACTTTTAGGATAGTTGCAAGGATTAAATTGTTTTAGCGCCATGAAAATATGAGAAGACAGTAAATTAGCTAACAGATCAAAATCGCAGCTAATCTATAGTGGGGAAAAGATCTTTGACTATCCTACTTGCAAAATAAAGTAACTATGTAGTGGACTAACCTTTGAAAATGCACTAGCAAGATCATCAATGTCTGATAAGGATCTCAAAACCTCACCCTGCAGCCATGAAAAGAAATTAGACCAAGCATCTAGGGCATGAATATTCTACTTGAAATCAACTATGAAAATAAATAAACTTGAAGATTAGTTAGTTAGATGTGTCAAAAGAAACACCTAAAGTGATGAAAATCCTAAATCAACACTTGAAATTTTAACCATATTAGGAAACATTTGAAGTGCATAACTTCACAGAGTGAAAGAGGAGGGGAAGAGATTAATTTCCTCTCTTTTAGGATTTCCCTTGGTTAGTGAGGCATGCCTCATCAGACTCTAGCTACTTCGTCAAAATATCTGCTATTCTGCTTCAGGAAGCATACAAGAAACAGCAAACCTTACTTCAAAAAGCACCCAACTACAACTAACACAATCTCCAAAACCTATTCAAATGTGGAATACAATTTTATTGACAGGATGACTGGGCCATTGGACCAAGTGCTTATACGATATAATTTTCATAAAAAAAAAAAATTTACACAAGCTACCTCCCATTGTGAAGACCAAGACCCAAGGAGAGCAGTAAAATTAACTTAAAAAAAGCCCAACCAATATGGCTACACTGTCTTATAAAGGTCAGAATGTACAAGGGAAAAATACAGAGGACAAGCTTTACAGTGTCTTGCAAGGACAAATAGAACATTACAGAATATGAGCTCCCAGAGGAATAAAATCCTGAATTTCATTAAAAAAACAAATAGCATGCCAAACACTAACTAAAGCAATGGCATCTATCTGTTCAAGAAAACAGGGGGAAAATAAGGCATCTAGCATTGCTTCAGAAGGCTACCTTTCAGTATCATGTTGGGTAGGGAGAGATTTACATTTCAAATTAATAGTCACTACTTCTGTCCAACACTGAATAAATTTCTAAGAACAATTTAAACAGGAAAAGGAAACTGAAATGAAACAAGAACATTAACCTCCTCTCGATCGAACAAAAACTCCTCCTCATCAAGTCCGACTGCTGGTAATTCCTCCTCTTCATCATCCAATCCCCCCAATTCAACTTCCTCAAGAACATCTTTTCCGAAAAAAGCATATTGTGATGCATCAAATACTGCAGCTCCTGCATCATAGAAAGCTAATTTTACTAAAAACGAACTCTTTGACAAAAAAACTCACAACATAAAGAACAGATCATATTTCACTAAAAATGAGTAGCTATACATGTTCAGGAAAAACAAATAGAGTCATGAAAAACAACCCAAAACATACATTAATCCAAACTTTTCACCAGAACACCAAGTATATACAAAACTATGCAAAACACAAGGGGTCTTCTTTTTTTTCTTAGGACCCAAACAGCAAGCAACCATCTAATCCACCATGCACCACCATAACAGCCATTTGTACCATACGCCAAGGGTATAACCCAATGGTTATAACTTGAGACCCCACCTCTGAAGCCTCAAGTTCGAACCTTGGGAATGGGCAGGGGATGGGGTTAATGAGATGGGAGCAGGTTATCTGCAGTTGTGTAGCCCACGGGCCAGTGGGTATCCATATGTACAACAAACGGTTTCTCCAATCCCAGCACAATTCAAATAAATTGTGAATATTCCAACCACCAAAAACAGTCATAATCATAGTCAACACAACCAAAATACAGGCGCATTCCATCATTAAACCAGAGTGCATTAGTACACAACATCGAACTTTATGATTTCAGTAGTGGCAAATATACATACACTATAAAATGAAGCAACAATCTAAATCCAGAAACTTTTAACATCTCGAAACAACAGCATTCCACTTTGAACTCAATCAAACAGTATTAACCAGAATTGCTTTTGCTATAAAACCCTATCCTAAGCATAAAAAACCCAATATTTCTGGATCTAATTTTGCTTTTCTTGTACACTGCTACCCGTTTGACTTCACAATCAACTATACACTAACTTGTTGACTTTCAACGTTTCAAATTTAACTCAATCCAAGATTTAAGCTTAAACCAAGCTAAAAAAACACTAACCCAAAGCTAATTTCACCGAAAAAAGCAAAATACGAACAAAATTAACTAAAAAATCGAATATCAAACCTGTGGAAGTATCGCCTAATTGCTTAAGATCCTCAGAAGCATCCATTGTATCTACACTTGAAAATTACTACTCAAAAAAAAAACCCAAAAACAAAACCCTAATAATTAACTGAATCTCCAATCTAATTTATTTTTTTAAAATCTAAAAAAAAATAAAAAGAAGCAAGGAATTAAAAGAGAAAGGGCAAAAAAAAAAAGGTTAAAAACCCAAAAACCCTTTGCAATGAAATTGGGTTTGGTGGATAAAAGATCTGTACAGTATTATTTCCTGGTTAAGGATTTTTTTTTTCTTGAAGCGCTTTTTTTTCAAGTCAAAATTGTTGAGACAAATAGAAGAGAGAGAGTGAAGGGAACCCTAAAAAGAGATAACGATGGTAATTTCATTTTTTATTTATATCTTTTTTTTTTAATTAACTGATTGGATAGAGAATAAAATACGAATTATACAGAGGGGCGGCCATTGAAGAAAATAAAAATTAAATAATTTTAATATTGTTAGGCGTTTTTGGGCTGTGCCTTTTGGCTTTGGATTTTTTCTGCCTTCGATACGAAGTGGGAAGGAAAGGTGCCCTCCTTTGAAAAGGATTGGCATCTTCCACAATTATATTACTATTATACCACTAATTATATCTTTTTTATATTCTGTAATATAATATAAATATATTTTTTTATTTTAAAAAATTGAACTCAATTCTATAAATTATTATATTTTTTATTTATTTAGTTGTATATATTATAAAAATTTATCGCATATCCTCATTTTTATATTTTTATTATTATTTCATTTGTTTTTGGCACAAACTTCATTAATTAGTTGTTATATATATCTCTTAATTCTTAACTAACAGGATGCTGCACTAATCACTGAGATTTATCATGAGTGAAGAATTTATTGTAATAATATCATATTTTTTTAAATATTTGATTTATGTGAATTTTGTGAAACTTTATCAACATTTGATGTTAAGAATCGTAAATAGTCTTACATATCGTCACAATAATCGAAATAAAAATATATAAAATAAGATAAAAAAATTAAAAAAAAAACTAGATATCATATATACATCTTTAGTTTCATTTTATGATCAATATTTTATATATGCAAATAAATAGTTTGATACAAAATGTACAAAAAAAATTTCAATATGTTTGAATAATATTATAAAAAACAGTAAAAGGTGCGATCTGAAATTTGGAAATATTATAAATAATAGTACTAATAATAAATTAAAGATAATTATTTTAAAATACTGACATTTTTAAATAAATTCTTGTGGTTAGAGCAAAATTTTCATTTAAATAATTTTTAATTTTCAGAAAAGATTTAATTTTGTAGATCTTAATTATGATCATTCAAATAATAAAATTAAAATTCAGAAAATGTAATAAATTAAAAGTAATTATTCATAAACTGCATAATTTATATCTTAAACTTATTAAAATAAAATGAATATTAACTACACTCATTAAAATTTTGTTAATTTTAATGATGAAATTTGGTAAATTATTTTCATTTTAAATTGCTATTTTTCAATCCTATGTTTTTCTAATTATTTAGAAATAATCCACTTTGTGAAAAATAATCTTGAGATCTCCCAATACTTTTCTAAGTGATTATTAAATTTGTTTAATTAATTATTTTATTTTTTATTCTTAAGATTTTTTAAAATAATTATATAAATTTGAATTAATACATAAAAAATAAATAAGGCAACCAATGGGCTAGGAAATACTTAAATTGTTGTTGGGTTGGGCCCAAAGCTGATTTGGCTCAACTTCGTTTTTTCCTCTTCAATTGTTTTCTCTTTTTTTAAAAAAGTCTAGTCTCTCATCCAATAACTTCCCTCTATTTTTTTTCTCATATGTCTTACCCAACCGACCTCTTCCTCTTTTTGCCTCTTTCCTTTACAAGTTTTTTCACCTTTATCTCTTTCACAATTGATCCTTCTCTCTCCTTTATTTTATTTGAACCACCATCCAACTCTCATTCTCGCTTTTCCATTTTCTTTTTCTTTTTTTTCTCTATTTCTTAAAAAATCCAAAACAACCTCCCCCATTAACTCTATTTTCTTTTTTATTTTTTGATTGATTTTTCTTTGGATTTTTTTACATTATTCTTTAGGATTTTTTTCAATTGACTTTTTGGTTTTGTTAATTTTGTAGTTTGAAGCTTAATTTTGTGCTTATGCTTTAAGAATGCCTTTTTTTTTTTGAAAGGTTAAGGTGAATTTCATTATAGACCAAATAACATCATTACAATGAGAATCGTAACTTGCATAGCTAATCATTTTACACATACTGTTAATTTTATAGTTTTCAAATCAATCCTGTGTTTTGAAATGACAAAAAGAAAATGATCAAAATTTATTTAAGTTTGGGAATATCAAATCTATACATCCCTTAACACCTTAAAATGAGTTTAAGAATGAAAACAATGACAAAGGACTTAGAGCCTTGAATGAAGAGAAGAATAGTTATTTCACATTAAATGCACTCCTAACCACCTTTGAAATTTCAACAACTATAAATACAAGCTTCATCGTCATTTTTAAAGGTGGAAAGACTTTGAAACACAGCTCAAAAGTAAGAATTTGTCAAAAATCATTCAAAACGCATAATACTCTTCTTTTAATCCTTAAAGTTTTCTAGTGCGACATTTATTGAGCCCTCACTCCTTCACTAAATACTATACCTAACTCGTTATTTAACCTTTTAAAGGCAAACCAACTGTATTCTCATTCTTCTCATTATACTTGTTTAAGTGGTTATACCTTAACCCATATAAAAGGTAAAGTGATTGTGCTTTAACCCTAAAAAGGTATTATATTGAAAGGTTTTTCTTGATCCATAAAAAGCATTATATTGAACTTTGATCTAATAGTGAATTTTAAATTCCTTAGTGAATCTAAAGAAGAGGATATAGGTAAGGAGGCCGAACTTCTATAAAATATTTGTATTGATTTTTTCCTTTTTATTTTTTACTTGTAATTTATATTTCTCTTATTCATTAAGAGGTCAACTATTTTATTTGTTTTCAAATTGAGCATTTGAATTGAAAACGGGATTCTACCTTCTTAAAAATTGAAAAAAAATCTTCAAAATTTTAAAACAATTCATTCACCCCCTCTTGGATTTATTCACATTGAGTTTATTGAATCAACACATAACCTGCCAGAACTCCTAATCATGTAGAAAGAGCCTCATTAAAAACTTTTCCATGAGAAACCTAGTGGGATAAAAACCATGAAAAGGAAAAAATAGTACCCTTTCATGCATGAATGTCTATGAAATCGAAACAAGCTTTTATTCCCCTCAATTCATCAAGACACAAACTCTAGAGAAGTTAAATCTTGTAACATAATACTTGCTAATTGGCCTGGCATATCTTTGATATTAGTCCACAAAATTTCTCCATCACTTGGTACCTTTAAGGATGTCAATGAGTACCCAACCAATTATACCAGGTTAGGGTACCCTAAAATCGGATTTGAGACTAGTACAGGTAGTGATTTTACTATCTGTATTGTGTTCAAGTATCACTTCTTGGATACCCGTTATCCGAACCCGATTATATTAATATTTAGGTTTCGTAAGTACCCGCCCTGTAACCTAACTCTAATACCTATATATATATATATATATATTACATTCGGGTTTCACGGGTACCTTCCCTAAACCCGACTCTAATACCCATATATATTTTTTTATTATTTAAATAATTGAATAAAAAATATCCATTTTTGTTAGTATTTAGATTCAAACCTAAGTAAGGAAAGAAAGCAATCAAAACCTTTATCATCTCTACAAACAATTTCTTTCATTAAAAGTTGACAAATATATTGAAAAATATAATTAGTCAAATTATTAATATGATGACATTAATAAATTTAAATTAAAAAATTAAAAAATTATTAATTATGTTTAAAGAATATGAATATCATATCATATTACAAAAGAATATAATTACTGTTTTATATATTTTTAATATAAATATATTTATTTTTTATTTTGTGTTAACATAATAAAAATTATAGCTTATAATATATTTACTTAAATAGAGTCTTTGAGATTAAAATAGTTTTGGAGTCTAACTATTTTTTTAATTTCATTAATTAAAGACAAACTCATATATTTAATTAAATTAATTCATGAAACTATAATTATTTATTAACTTGGAATGTTTTTAAATACATATACACTATATACATTGAGTTCATTTATAAGAAATATAATTACTATATTATACATATTACTTTTAATGTATATATATATATATACACTTTAAATATAAATATATTTACTTTCTATTTTATGTTAACATTACAAAAATTATAACTTTTACAATTATTAATTAATATAAATACACACACACACACTTTATAGTATATAACTTGTAATGTCTTTTAACACGTACACTTTATATTATATATTATATACATCTATAAAAAAAATATAATTATTATTATATAAATTAATAATTATTAAATAATATATATACCTTGCACTTGAGTATTTGACTCATTCGTTGGTGCATAATCCTCCTGCTTAAAGCGTAGGATTCGAATCCCCTTCCCCCAATTATAAAAAAATAATAATAATATATATCTTTGTTTATATAAACTTATAATATATAAACTTAATTATTTAAAAAGAAGCTATGAGATTAGAATAGTTTTGAAACTTAGCTATTTTTTTTAATTTCATATACTTAAGGGTAAATTCATATACTTAATTAAATTAATTAATAAAATTATGATTATTAATTAACTTGTAATGTCTTTTAATATCTATACTTTATATATATTGAGTTCATTTATAAGGAATATAATTACTATTATATATATACACTAAAATACTTTTAGTATATATACTTTAAATATAAATATATTTATTTTTTATTTTGAGTTAACATTATAAAAATTATAACTTATAAAATTATCAATTATAATATATATATGCACTTTGTGTATATAACTTGTAATGCCATTTAACACATGCATTTTATATTATATTTATGTTCATTTATAAAAAATATAATTACTATTATAAGTCAATAATTATTAAATAATAAAATAATATTAATTTTATTCTCAAAAATAATAATATTATTGATTTTTATAATTTAATAATAATAATATATTAAGACTAAAAACCCTAGCCATTCCTTTCTTTTCTTTCTTTTTTCTCTTCTAGTTGATCGTTCTTCTTTCTTTTCTTCCCCCCAACCAACTACTTCTTCTTTCTGAAAGTTCTTTTATTCTTTCTTCTTCTTTCCTTCCTTTTCCTTTCTTTCCCCTAGCCAATCATTGATCTTCCATTCTTGCCACTCCATTGTTGGTCCTTCATTCAAGTAAATCACTAAATCTCATCTCTTTTCATTTTTTTGCCTAGAATTTATTCTATAATGAAATATAATATAAGTTCAAATAGAATCTGTCTGGGCATTCCAA